TGTGTGTGTTGTGGTGTGTTTGACCGGATATTCATAACTTCTGTTCCCGTGGACCTAGAGCGTCGAAATTTAGTAGGAGTACAGGTGACAGGTGGGGACACTCATGGCAGGTAGCAGAACCGGACTCCACCCACACGGGGGGGGGGCGTGCGCGTAGAAATTTACCGACCTCAAATTCATCAATCCTGTTCCCGTGGATCTAGAGTTGAAATTCGGCAGGAGTACAGGCGGTAGGATGGAAACACTCATGGCAGATAGCAGGACCAGACTCCACCCACCCGGGGGGGCGTGCCCGATAGAAATTTTCCGACCGCAAATTCATCACTCCTGTTCAAGTTTACCTAGAACGTTGAAATTTGGTAGAAGCACAGGCGGCAGGGTGGGAACACTGATGATGTCTGATAGGAAGTGATAACAATCAAAGGTACCCTGTGACAGCAACTGATAACAACTGATTAGAGCTGATAAGGGGCCTCAGAGCGCAAAAACCAGTTACCAATCAAATCATAACGGTATTGGTATCCACAATTACACATAGACTCTTTATATGTCTCATTCAATAAGACGGGATGGCAGAATAGGGCGACAAAAGCGAATGGTAAGGGCAGTGAGAGGGACCCATTAGCGGCACTACGACAAACAAAGAATTCTGCTCATTTTTGGCTATTAGGTTAAGACCGCTACCCATCAACGTTTGTGACCCAATAAAGGATCCTCTTTGTTCGATATTATTTTCGACAAAACTTAACCGACCGCCAGTAATCTTGAATTCTCAATTAATGATATAACTGCAAAGAGGAAGGTTCATTTATAAGGACATCTCATAATAGCGTGATCACCACTCGAAACATTTGTGAGTACCGCTCAAGGCTTTGGTTGTCTAACAGTTGAATTCTTGATTTGTATCAAATTTTAAGCAAAAGAGTAGAAGATTGAGAATTTGAATCAAAGGCGCAAGAACTAACTTACTCTGAATACTATTTGCACTGCCCTGTTAGTCCTATGCCAGACTTCGTGTGCAGAAAAATATCAGACTCAAGAAGTGGAGAGTTAACCGATCACTGCAGCTTTGTCAAAGGAGGGAAGCAATGGAGGACTGATCAAACAAGCTAGAAAACTGAAGCGTTACTACATAATTTGGGTAGGAGAGTTTTCATCAAAATGGTGAAAAGTCGTAGAACGTGGCAAAATCAACGCAGAGGTAATTTTTAGGCTTCAAGGAAAAAAATTATGCGATGCAATAATCTCTCCCCCATAAAACCCGAGGTACGACATCTCGCACATCTCGCACATGAAACGTCACCCTTACCACTTCCAAGACACTGCTGAATATTCTGCTGCATCCATGTAATTTGTGTTCGCTTGTGTTAAGTCCCCCTAAAGTCGCCCTCGTAACTCCATTTAGAGAATCGTTCGACAAATTCGGGAAGCAGATTTGAGGTCGTATTCAAAAAGACGTCTAGCACTATATATCTAATTTCGAATGGTCAGCTTCGAATTGGGACCCTGTCCTGGCTCGTAAATTTTCTAAACCACTCCCCCGATTCTAGCCAAAAAGCCCTTCCTCTACAACATTCCCACCTACGCCGGCTGCACCATTGAATGGAGCAAGCTCTTCATCGTCTCAAGTAAGCGGTGTAACTGGAGGAGAGAGCAATGATGAACTTGAAGGCAGTTGCTGTCAAAATACACCACAGGTTTGATATCTCATATTGTTACTAAACATGATCAGTGCTTTGTCTGCGCATGCGGATAGGTGTAAATGATGTTAATTAGTACTCAGGCACAAAAAAAANAAAAAAAAGTGTAAAACATGTCACAGTCGCTTCTCTTACGCGGTTTTTAAATGCGCCGATGTTATCTCTTATTCTATGAGTAGTAAATGTTATGGTTTTTAACATTACTGATACTGACAGCAATGTTTGCAGATATCTCCGAATGTTTCTGATGTCGATGATGGAGTAGACGATTCTTCCACTTCTGTGAGTTGATTACGCTTCTATGGAAAAGTCAAGATCAAAGAATAAAGCTTGGTTTCTAGAGTTTCAGTTTTTTACCTTTCTAGAGCTTCATTGGGATTTCTTGATGAGAGCACGTTTTACTAAAAAAAACTCACCATATTGCTGGACATTTGCGATACTCTTTGTGTCTCTTGTCTTCTCTCTTGCTGTCTATCTTTGAACAAATTTTCCCTTTCCCATTTGAGCAATGTTAGTAATATTTTTTGAACGCGAAATGATGAGGTTGATAGAGTTCTTCCCTGTTTTTCATATATAAGTTGCAGTCATTCGCGAGCTTCGTCAAGGGAAGCGATGCAGAAGAGCTGCTCGAGGCTTCAGCTGAAGCATCGTCTATTCCCGAGTCGTCCGACACTCTCGTGCCAATTCCGAATCCATCGTTGCCAAGTTCTAGCCGAAGTATTATTGAGCTCGATTCTTCAACGGGAAATCGTGAGTCTTATGCTTAGTTTACATTGAGCTGGCCTCATACGGTTTCTTGCAGTTTTGTACCTGGATATAGATTCACGATTGCCGTTCGGCAGGCTGAAAAACTGGTTAGGGCGGAAGCTTCTCATAGATCCAACACAGTTCGTTCTCATGAAACATTACAGGGTGAGCTCACGGTCTTGCAATCATCTCAATTGAATATACAGGGTGCGCCATAAATATGGTAACCAAAGAACTTCGCTACAGAGACCGCAGTTTTTATTGATACATCGTGAATTCATGTGAACTATTTGCTATGCAACGCATCTACAAAACGAACCCGTGGTCTTCTTATATAACCGTCTCCTGTACTATCATTGCTCGAACATGCTTCGGCTACTCATCGGCGGTGGCACGCAGAGCTTCTTGAGAAACTCCAGCCCTGCTTTCTTTAGTGATTTCTCGGGAGCAGCAACTGTGGCGCGTTTGGAAGCGCAGGCTTTCCTCTCCAGCATGGACTATACCCAGCGACTCATAACATTGTGGTCCGAGAAATTCATAGGAAGTTTGGAAGCCGGGATAAAGTCGCAAACATTTCCTCAGCACCGGTCTTGATCTTTTCCCATTCGCGAGCGAGTGCTCGCAGTTTTCAAACGTACCCCTACGAAAATCTTTGACCCTCAGCTGCATCTTTTCAGAAAAATCCTTGGTAAATAGGTTCGGATTGTATTTCGTGCTTTTCTTGTCTAAAATTTGCCATATCGCTCTGATGGAAGATATTCTAGCTCAAACCATCATGAAAGAGGGAAAACGGGTACGAGAGGCGATCTTACTTTTCTCAGCGGCTTCAGCACTCGTAGAGTGAAATATTTGTATACTCGGGTATATCAACATTTCTTCCACGCTGAGCACCCTTTAGTCAGATAAAAGGGTGTCGGAGCGCGTGCCGCGCGCAAGTAGCGCATGGTATTCGTTTTTTCGCTCCAACTTCTTCGCGTCAAGAAGCTTATAAAGCTTTCGAAACCTATCTGGAGACAATGTATTCACTCGGGGTAGACACTTCGCATCCGATTAGAACATACAAACAAGTCAGCAGTCATTTTTCTCGTGTTCCGCAGCGTACTCCTTCCCAAGCTATTGTATTGAGAAAAGGGGTCGTATTTAAGACAAGACGACCATTTTGAGGTTTGCCATTGACCTGTCTACACATCGCGATTCAAGAGACTGTCATGTGGGAAATGTCGAAGGAGGAGCGATCCCGGAAAAGGATTCACCAAATACGCGCAAGGACGTAACGGTTGGTGGATGTCTGCGAGGCTCCACCGTTTTTCGAAATCTGATGACTTGAGAGTACCAAAGTAGATACAGTAGCGCTCAAAAGTCTTCGGTGAAACGCTTCTTCAGTCATACTTTTTAGTCGTAACTCCTTTCCTACTGGATCTAATCACGCAAAATTTCGATATGTGTAGCATGGGTTTATTCTGAATATTTATCACTATCAAGCTGCAATCTGATCATTTCCAGATATTCCAAAGAGCGTGATTTCAAAATCGAGTGGAAATGCAGATGATGGTCCTTCTAAAATCTCTTTCCTTTTTGTCATGTCTAAAGTGTACGAGCGGTAACGCCGATTAAAACAGATGAGAAAAACGCACATAAGGTGCAAATAAGTGCAGATAGTAGTATATATATATATATATATATATATATATATATATATTCGATTTATACATTCATTTATTTATTAGAGAACTTGTGAAGACAAACATATTATTCTTACCAAATAGAACGTGCTCGCATCTGTCTCTCTGTCTACTTGTTTATTTGTTTTTTTTTTGTTTTGTTGCTTGTACGGAATTTCGATACTACCTGATCAGCACCTGAAGAAATCGGGTCAAGTTTGGGAAAAGATGGGGGTATAGGGCAAGACCAACAGAGTACATGTGAACTCAACGAAGCTCCACCCAGAGGGCGCGGGACATGCAAAGGAGTAGGCGGTGTCATGAGCAAACCTTTTTAATAAGGTTTCGTAATAGGCAAGGCGCTGAAAAATAATGAGCAAAGGTGAAAACTGGATTAAAAAGCGAAATGAAAGAGGCGGCGGTGAGCGGAGCGTCCTCGCAGTGGGTGGTACTTTTCATAGAAGTTCATAACTCTATTCAAAGGAGTAGAGGCCAGAAAAAGTAAAAGGTATGGGCAGGGCTTTATGCGTGCCGGGCATGCATCTGTTTAGAAACTTTCTAGAACGCTGGAAAAAGTGGTTAGAATAACAGAAGAATTTTGGTCAAATCTTTCAGGTGGACGGGGTTTGCCTCGAGGCAGGTGGAGCTAAGATTAAAACCACAACTCTGTACGGAAACATAGTTAGCGTTCCAAGATCTTTCAATATATAAAGTCATCATTATGCTGATTACCTATAAAATCATCATCACTCGCTTTCTATCTCGAAGTTCGGTGTAAAGCGTGGAAGTAGGGTCAACCTTGGTATGGCTGGGGCTTAGGACAAGATTAACAGAGTACATATGAGCCGCACCTAAAGGGTGGATCATTCACCTTGGGTGGTGCAATGAGGAAAACCCCATATTCTGAAAAGTCGAGCTTTTTGCCTAGCCCACATTCTGTAGTCAGATTCTTGAGAGGTGGAGTTTGGATCAAAATGTTTACCTGGGTTTTCAGAGAACAAAACCATATATGTATAATATATAACCAATTGCAATCACAGGTTTAGTGTGTCTGTTTGTCTTTTTCCACTAAGTGAAGCATAGGCTAAGCTTTTAAAACACATATGAAAGCCTGGCTTCCTGCATTACACACAATCCGGACTCTGCCCCAGGTCAGCAGAGTACGTGAAATGTCTGTGGTCGAGTTCAGAAAAAGCCCTAAGCATCTCGTTACTCGAAAGTGCGTGTAGGTGGGTAGGGCCTAGGTGGGCCGTTAGAAAGGAAATAGTCTATCTAGATTCCTGTTCAGTCACATTTCAACATCCGAAAAATAAGGGACAACCTATAGCAAAGGTTGAGAGCACAACCATCCATGGCAGGTGATATGAGTCGTAAAGTGCGTGGGGCTCAGATCAAAAATCTATATTTCTGCTCAAAAGCGTTCAACAAAACTGGATAAAAAATGAATAGAGGCTAACAAAGTAAGAGGGGCAAATCTTCATGGTCGGATGATTAACCATAAAGTGGGCGAGAACAGGTGAAAATACCCTGTAACTTCTCAGGAACATTATGTGCGAAGCGTAGATCAAGGATTTCTACACCTGCCCGAATAACATTTTAGAGATTTGGAGAAAAACGCAGACCGTTGGTGGAGCTGATATCCTGAAGTGACTACCATATGCAAAACCGCTCCGTATTGTCTACATGACCGTTTACGTTAGCTTTGCACATTCTAAACTCTTTATTGAAAAACAGGAAGGACTGGAAATTTGCCGCTGTGACCATGATATTGGTAATAACAGTTTTTGTGTAATCGAACCGTAACCTTGTAGGACTTTTGGATAGCTTAAGAGTTGAAATAACAGTAGTTATCAAAAGATCAAATGAAAACAAGTTGTATATATGGTTTTTCTTTGATTAAAGGAAGACGACAAAGGCTACGAATGCAACAACAAGGATGAGGAGAACATTCGAAGCGCTTTGGATAATGTGTTTAAGGTATGCGTTTCTTCGTTTATTCATTTCAACCATTTAGCTCTCTATTTCAGGTAGGTGTCAAATTGAGGCCTCCACTGAAAGAAGATGAAAAGCTCATCCGTATTGTGCAGTTTGACTTGGAGGAGCCCAACGTTAGTTTACTTTTCCTAATTTAAAGGAAAACTTTCGATGACCTTTCCGCTGTAGTATTAATCTAGGACTTCAACACATGCAATGTTTTCAGCGAGAAAACTGGAAAGTTCTTTTCGAATGTCCAGCGTCGAAGCAGACATCTATTGGAGATTTATTACGGCATTGTATTCATCTTTATGCAGAAATATATGGACAACGGCTCACACTGAACCAGTTCGGATACAATTTTTTCTTGTAGTATCGTTTCTCAACTACCGAATTTCAGGGTTCGCCTACGAGAAATGCCTTCGTTTAGTCGACCAATGAAGGTCGTGTTGAATCTTGGCGACACTTTAGAATCTCGTGGAGCTCAGTGGTCGAACAACATTTACTTCCAAGTAATATCCGGTAGGGATTGCATCTACGTCTTTTTGTTTGGCGCAGTTCATCTGAACATTACCATTTCTTAATGATTTTATCAACACTTTACTATAGCTTGCCTCGCCGCGCTTTTTGGGAGCGCCTTGCATTATGCTATATTGGAAGATTCGCGTTTAGGGTGCTCTTGAGCGACCGAGTCAATTTTATTGTGCGGAAATGGGGAGTAGCAAGTAGCAGCGTTGTCACACAAGCACATGCTACGTGTTGACTAAGTGTTTGAGAAGTATTGTAGCTTGATATTCGAGTGATTGTGTCCTGTTAGTTCAATTGAGGTCTAATGAATAAGTAATGCTCATCTAGGAGAACCATTGGCATAAATGCTATATTTGCAATATTTTTCTTTCATTCATTCAGTTGAGTTCATTACTTCCTTGGGTCAAGACATGAGTATTCCAATCAGTTCCCATGTTTAGCCTATGATTTCGTTTTTATAGATGAACGCCTAATAGGTCAACCAGGAGTACCTATTCTCGTTCGTCGGTTCCGGCCATCCACTGTAGAAGTTACAAGCATTCATGAAGTCCTTGTGGATCCGAATGCTGCGGACCAAATGCATTCATTCGCATCTAGCGTCTCTTTCATGTCGGGCATCCCCATCGACAGGCTTGTTTTTACAGAAGTGCGTTTCTTTTTCAGATTTCTTGTAGTCACATCTTACATCATCATGTTTCTCAGATTACTTGTAGTCATCTTCTTACTTGATAAAGATTTTAAGTGCCCAAAACTGTTTTTCTTTTAATGGTATTTCGTCGCACCTCTTCAATCAGTATCCTTTTGAGGTTGGCAGCTCATGGGAGAAGTGGCCATTTGCGTTGAGTCGTTTGGCCATGTTGGACGGAGTCGTCAGGTTTTCTGCCCGACCCTCCTATGCGCCCAATGATGTAATTGAGCGGATTGGCGGTAGAGTTGTCTATTACAAGTAAGTCAGATTATGGCACTTTCTTTCTTCACAGGTCTATTCCCATCCTTTTCTAATTTTGAATGAAGGAATGAAAATTGACTTTTGTAGTCAATTTCTTTAAGGACTACTGCAGTTGTTATTCATTATCTCAAGAGGATTCATAGTTGTTTTGTTTGTCGTCGTTCTGATTCAATAATTTTGATTGACTCAACATCCTGTTGAACTGTAATATATTTACAGAGATGCCGCTGAAGTAACGAAGGAATTGTCGAATGAAGACAGAAAACAAATCCAAATAAGGGAGAACGGTCAAAGTCAAGCAGCAGTTGCTCGGAGAAAAGAGCGGCCTTTACGAATCCAAATGAGTAGTATTAGCGAACCATGAGCTATCGCGATATCATGAAATTGCAAGAAATTCTGTGAAATTGTTGCAGAATCAAGTTTGGGTATAGACAATGTTAAGTTGTTGCCTTTGTTACCAGCGCTTACAAGAGGCCCTCACGACTCTTGACTCACAATCAGTCGGAGGGTTGTATTTCGCTTGTTTACTGTACCTTTTTGGTTATAGGTAAAACTTCATTTTTCTCATTGACCAATCTTACTCAATCTTGTCAAGGGTTTCCTGGATGATCTTCTCCTGAAAAATTAGATGTCTAGCTTTGGAGTTTCATATATATGTATATGAAATTAATTGAGTGAGGTCGCTGCCTTGTCAGCTTTGAGTCATGAGAAATCAAGAAATGATGTGTGCTGTGTTAATTTGCAACGGTTTGAGTGCCCATTCACTCGTAAATTAATATATTCGCGTTGTTTTTGATATTAAGTTCTAGCTATGCATTTATTCAGAGCTGTACAAAATTTTAATTAATAATACTTCGGTCTAAAGTTCCTTTTCTTTTGTCATTTGTGTGTTTTGAAGGTTTCTTCTTACTTGATAAAGATTTTAAGTGCCCAAAACTGTTTTGCTTTTAATGGTATTTCGTTGTACCTCTTCAATCAATTGAATGTTTTTTCAACTTAAGCAGTGTAGAGGACTCACAGCGGTCAGCTTCGACTGATCCATGATCTTCCGAAACCGTGAGCTATCTAAAGGGCTGGAACAGGACAGATTCCCTTTAGAGCTAAGACAGAAATCGTCTTGTCATTCCATAGACTCGGCAAAAAAGCTGAAGAGGAGCTGCCATGATGCACTGTATGCTAAAAGACAGTGTAATGCGAATCGAAGTTTAGAAGTGTGAATCTGGTAGTTTAGTACGGTACCGGTTCTGGGGTATGTTGCGGTTCGTGCGATTCTGGGTGCGCGCAACAAATTGCGCGGCGAAATTCGGTGCGATTTGGACTACTGCAACGTTTATCATTTGGGCCCAAATTTAAAGTAAAGTAGGTTAGTAGGATTGTCCGACTTTACTAANGTACTCCACATCAGGTTGTTGCCCCAATGATAGACGCCAGAGTTGTTTGAATCATCGCGAATTTCGCCGCGCAATTTGCCGCGCGCACCCAGAATCGCACGAATCGCTCGCCCCTCTCCGTTCTGCTTTGCAGCAGTTGACTACTTATAGTACTTTGCAACTGGCTTGTGATTGGAACTTGGGCTTGAAAGCGTTGGGTCGGAGTTGAAATTTGTACTCAAATTCAAACCGCCCTCTCTCCTCTTCTGTCACTTGCGAATCTGTCACAGTCAGTTGCTGCGTAAGAGGCGCTTCGACCAGTTATTTTTGTTTCCTCACCCAGCTAAAGTATGATGTAAGGCAATGTTTGCACTCAGTGATGCTCCCAGCATTCGGAAAAGAAATCATGTCGAAAGCACGTAATCTGTGTTGGATATAGAAACTGCATGTGTTAGCATGCCACAGACATCTTCGTTTTGCGAAATTTGTATTGGGAAGTTGAATGGGGTCATGGTTCGTATATGTGAATCATAATGTTGACTTCAACTGTTTGTTTAAATCTCTTATACCACCACACATGAATACATGGCAATCAACATTCATAAATACGGTATGTCGCGCATTCCCGAGACGTTTGTTAGGATATCTCTTTGTTACAGTCCGACCGCCCCCAAGTGGGGTGGTGAGGGCTGAGGCGCGGCTCGCCTTAGCGCCAGTCTGATTGGGGAAGGCAATGAGTTTCGGTCTTTTTACCGCCCTCGTGCTCCCATTTTCGTCTCGCTGTGTTTCAATTTGAGTCGCATCGATAAAGATCAAACCACCAAACCAGTGTTTTGAAGGGAGGTACACTACATCGGTTGCAATCTAGAGTTTCGCCACAAACATTCAGCGTCCCGTCTCCATCATTCCTGTCATCGATGGAACAAGCCAATCGCGCAAAAGCTCAAATTGCTGAAAGACAGCGGTTCACCCCACCTCGTTTGGGGATAGGAAAGCGGTCTGGAAGTAGAAAATCTTCAAACTCTGCTGAAGCAACGGAAATGTCACTAAATTTTCACAGAAAACCAATAAAGTTTGGTGCTAACACACTTGAAACCTTGGTAGCAAGATACCACGTATACACCGGTGGAATCAAACCTGCAAGGGAGGACAGCTCCCTAGCTCTGATATGAAGAGTACCTTAGCATAATTAACCTCAAAACAGGTGCCATAAGATTCATTAGATCTAGTAAAGAAAACTTACAAGCCTGGTGGATAAATTTTAGAAGGCATATGAGGAGGAAAAAGCCAAAGGGAATAATAAAGTCCTTGTAGTGATTTGTGATTGATTTGAAGTGAGGTGATCAAGCAGCATCGTTTTGTGCCCTTTGAGAGATTCTCTCCTTCTAAAGTGCATATATTCCACTCAAGAGGTCTTCGTGGCTGTACGTGGATTATGGAAGACATTTTGGCAAGAATAATCCAACAACTGCACCTCCCTCATAGGGTTATTGTGCGTGTTGATGTGCTGCATAGTATATTACTAAACTGACTAGATGGCGCTTTTGAAGTGAAGAACAACTGCTATTTCATTCTCGAAAAGTTTATACATTTCCAGTAAATGGTCAAGGCGAGAAAAGCTGCTAGGGTGGTCAAGGTTGAAGTCAAGCAAGAATTGGAGGTCGGCGAGCAGAAAGGTGTTCACTATGTTCATTCGTTTGGTATTACTTTTTTATTTGTTAAATTCAGTACCTAAGGAAGTTCAAACTCGCATTGCTTCTGAACTATTCCCTTTCAACAGTGAAATGGTCTAATATCAGAATATTAATATCTGGTTTTATACATTACACATGAGCATCGTGTATACAAAGCATCGTGTATGCAAACAGATTGTAATCCGTCTACCAAAATAGCCGGCTTCAAAGCGAGATATTACATCACTTTGGCTGCTTCAAAGAAGCCAGTTAAGGTCGATCGGGTTTTCACTGTGCAGTGCTTGATTCTCTTCTAATCGCTATCATTTTGGAATCTTTTAAAAGACTTTTATGGGGCTGTAAAATATTAGGATGAGTAAAAAGTTTTGATCGACTCTTCGTCCCTTTCTAGATTTTTTCGTAGGACCGCTC